CACATGTGTTCATTTACAGGGGTTGCAGCTTATACTGTATGTATTTGAATTGAAATACAAATTTTTCTTTCTTTTTTTTTGGAATTGGTCAATTGTAGTGAATGATTGTTCATAGTGACTGCTGCATGCAATCAAGACAAATAAGAGTGTTAATTTGTGTCACTACGCAATTTCCATGCTTCTAATGTGTGCAATAAATTTTTATCTGTTTTGATGACATATATTTAATCAGTTAATCATGTCAAATCTCTTTCAGATTTCAGATTTCCACATGATGCTGTATCACATTTACACAAAGGCATTCGTTAATTAGGAAATTAGTGAAGGTGCATGATTTCATATGTCAGCATAATTTATTGCATGCACAACTGCAATAATGTTGCAAAATTCCTTACTACTGGTTCAGAACTACTATTTTAATTGGTCTTATTTTAAGAAATACAGTTGTTTTAAGAGTTAACAAAGTATTAATGCATAAAAGGAAAATACTCATCAACAAACTAATATGTTCCAAATAACGCTGTAAGCTGAAACTGTCAATCATTTGCAATGGAGCGAGGTGCTTTGAGTCATGCGTTCATTAATGTCTTAATTAGCTGTGACCTGGATGGGAATCAAGTCATCCCACATAGAGAATGTGTAAATTTAATACAAGCCATTTATTTGCCAAACAATTCACCAAAGCAGCCCTAATGATTCCCTGAACGTCAATTAAACCACCATTCAAAGCTTTATAACATTTATTCATTTATAAGCTTGTGAATTACGTTACTGATATGATTTAGATGTCTCAAAATCATAGCGTTTCATCAGAGATTCCTTAATAAATTGGTGCCTGTATGAAGGGCCTTAATGAAAAGGCAAAACAGCAGTTGCACTGGACTATAACTACAGTCATAAATGTCACGCTTTCCTTCTTTAAACACAAAGCTGTCCTGATGCCAACTTCTCTGATCTACTGGCAGCTCGTACGATTTTGTACAATTATTCATAACAGCTTTTTGTTCGACTGCATGAAAACACTGAATGCAATTAGTAGAGCTAAAGTCATTAACTATTGGAGGAAAGCAAAATGAGCTTCAGCATGACTGACTAAATATGAGGAGCTACTGCACTGACTTAAACACTTGACATAGGATAAAAGTGGAAAATATGAGCTGTGTTTGTTTACATCTTCAGTTTTTCAGCAAAATGTAAATTTAAACATAGCCTACTTAAAGGGGTCATATGATGCAATTTAAAATTGTCCTTTCTCTTTGGAGTGTTACAAGCTGTTTGTGAATAGATAAGATCCCTAAAGTTGCAAACTAAAGTCTCAAACCCAAAGAGATATTCTTTATAAAAGTTAAGACTTGTCCACGCCCTCCTAAAATGCCTCGTTTAAACACGCCCCCACATGTCTACGTCCATGGTTTTATGTTTACGCGGCGCGATACACAACGCAACGTGTAAAAAGACAGTATAAGTCATTATAATCAGTAATTATGTCCCCACTGGATGCAACAAATGCCTCGTTTATAATGGGTTTTAATGATTTTGAATCGTCGCTCCGGCCGGACAGGACATCACAGTATGGTAGGGATTTCCATCACATGGTAGGGATTTCCATAACATTTCCATCACACGCTTGAGGTATTCAGCCAATCACAACGCACTGGATAGCTGGCCAATCAGAGCACACCTCGCTTTTCAGAACGATGAGCTTTGTAAAAATCGACGCGTTTCAGAAAGGCGGGGCATAGAGGAGCAACAATAATGTACATTATGTGGAAAATAATGTGTTTTTTGAACCTTAAACTGCATAAACACATTGCATTACACCAAATACACAACATAATGTTCTTTTTTAGCAACATCATATGACCCCTTTAAAGCATATTTGCCTTTCATAATTTGGTAATTCTGGTATCCTCTGAGAGAGTTTCAGATGAGGCAGTACTGCAGCGGTGGTTCTAAAGGTCACTGAGGACAGCCGACTCACTGTAGACGCTAACAGCTTGTTGCAGACAGGTATCTAAGAACAAAATCTGCTCTCACCACTCCAACAGAGACAGGAAATCCTCTGTTTGAGGCCGATACCAGGCTGTGACATGGTTACCGTGGTGATCGGTCACTTCCTGTCCAGAGTGTGTTCAGAGGGCAGACTTTCTTTTTGCACTCAGCAGCCGGCCGAAAGGTGGTTATATGTTCATTGGAGATCAGTATCATGCTGTCCGTTCACTCAAATGTTCCACCAGACTCAAACACAGCCCACTGTCTGACACGCATCAACACTTTCCCTCTTGAATATGTGCGCTTCTGTTCCCAGTTACATTAAACACTGATTCTTGAGACAACTTTACCTGACATTAGTGTTTAAAACAGCAACATTTCCACTGTAAATTAATTAGATGAGTATTCTTAGCAGAAACATACCATTTGATTTTATATGCCCTTTACATTATCACAGACTCCGGCTACAAACACATGTATAAATAAAGCTCTGTTAAAAGTTCAGTAACATCACACAGAGTTTTATAAAAAATATAATAAAGAATAATTCCTTTATATCTAAATGTTATTTTATTTAAATTCTGAAGCCCGCTTTGAATGGAAGGTTCAGTAATTCAATAACTGACCATCCATACCAGTCATTTTAAGGAAATAATTCAATTTGCCTCTCATGAAAATTGTCCAATGTCCAATAATTATTTGCTAACCCTAAAGAGATACCGGCACAGTAAGGATATGAATGGATAATAGTAATTTCTGGTAATATCATTCCATTTTGCGTGTGCCTTTATGAATATTAATGTTATTAAAGTAAATAGCTGATTGTAGATGCCAAATTGGCTGCTATTAGCATTTAAACATTTTAAATGAGTTTCTATAGCATTACACACAGTTTTATAAAAAATATAATAAAGAATTATTCCTTTATATCTAAATGTTATTTTATTTAAATTCTGAAGCCCGCTTTGAATGGAAGATTCAGTAATTCAATAACTGACCATCCATACCAGTCATTTTAAGGAAATAATTCAATTTGCCTCTCATGAAAATTGTCCAATGTCCAATAATTATTTGCTAACCCTAAAGAGATACCGGCACAGTAAGGATATGAATGGATAATAGTAATTTCTGGTAATATCATTCCATTTTGCGTGTGCCTTTATGAATATTAATGTTATTAAAGTAAATAGCTGATTGTAGATGCCAAATTGGCTGCTATTAGCATTTAAACATTTTAAATGAGTTTCTATAGCATTACACACTAAAGATAGTCAAGTCTTTCCCACAATGTGATAAAATTCAGTTTACTGTTACTGATATCAGCAGTACGTCATGGAGACACATACAGCACACAAATGGCACCATTTCCTGCATGTTTCTTTCAGAAAGCTTGCACCACTGTGAAGGCAAATGAAAACCCAACTTGTAAGCTGAAGTTTTTTTCCAAGAGCAAAAGTGTAGCCTGCCTCAGACTAAACATTTGTGTCACCTCTAATCATGTTTTGAAGCTGTGCGATAATGTTCTGCCCTTGCAAAGCGTGTGAAGGTTTCGGCAAGATGACAGTATATGTAAACTTTCCACTAGCTTATTTAAGATCTTTGTTCCATTTCTTCACTGCCTCATCTGCAAGTCAATGCCAGGGCAATTCACAGCTTGCTTTTGTAGTTTTAATCTCAGCACCTGATCCGTTGACTGTGAATGATTCTTCCCATGTGTGGCTTTCTCTTTCACATGACAACACTGGCCTTGAGTAGCTGTTTTGTTTTATTTGTTTATTTATTTTTATAATAATATATAATAATGAAAATAAAGCATCTATAATTCTTTATTGAATAATGACAGGGTATTCGTGCAACTCCATAATAAAAGACCATGCTTACTGCATTGCTGCTAATAAACACAAAAGAAGCGGGGACATATGGATTTGATTAAATGGCCTTCGAGGAACATGCAAAAGCTATTAAAAAGCTTTGTCATCATAGGGTCTGTTCACATTCTTCATCACGATTTTGTGATGCAAACCGGGTCTGGCTTCGAAATGTAACTTTATAATTGATGCCTGGGCTAACAAGACCTCCTGGGAGGCTGTTAGCAGTCGTAGAGCATTGTACCCAACCAGCCCACCCATCATGAGCCTTTCCTGAGCCCATGCACTGTAGCCCACTACATGAGACTAACCTTTCCTTACAGTATTGCTAATGCTAGGGTTCTTACATATCATGGTAATCAATTTGGTTCACAATCAAAATAAGTTTGTCATTAAGTTGACTGGGCAAAGCATTTAGTTTGTACACATATGGTATACTGTTGATGTTACATAAGGATAAAGCTTTCAGGAAAAAGCACTTTCCGCAAGCACTTAACAAGCCCAGACGCACACACATACAGACTGTTTTTGCTCTCTGCATTTCTCCTCTTCTCTAGCTCACTTCCGAATCGAATTGTCTAATAAACCTGGTATTGTGTATTACCAAATTGTTGGCTCTTTGACGAATTGCATCGTTCCTCTTTTGCAAGTGACTTTGGATAAAAGCATCTGTTAAATGCATAAATGTAAATGTAAAATACCACTCATTAAGCTACTTTATAAGGCTTGTGCTACAACTACATCCAATGTCGTCCTCTGTAGCAGCAGAAGAATGACAAAGCATCAGTTTCACACATGATGTCCATCCGTTCCTCGTCATTCTGTTGTATTAGAGCTTTAAAGCCTCCTGTTTTGTCAGGGAAGAAAGAAAAGCGAAAGACATGTGAAACCAAAATGAGTTCATTCGATTCTGACCAAAATCACATTTTTGACTTCACTTGAAGGCCGTATACAATTCCCGAACTCCTAAGGAGTGACTGACATCAGCTAAATGTCCAGAGAAATGCTTTTCAAGGCCTTCAGCATTTTCAGAATCAGATTTCCTCAGAGACACGGCTTTTGTCTGAATTTTTCTCCTTGCGTGTCAGGGTTGGGAAACACGAAAGACAGACCCTGATGATGCTTGTTTTTCTGTTTCAGGGGTGTATGTGCCACCGGGTGCTGGATTGCTACCAGGTGCTGGACTTTACCCAGGTATAACCAGCTACAGCCATGGTCCGCTCACTGCTTTGTTCATCATTTATACCATATGACGAAATGACACTGGCCATGATGGTGATTGTGATTTCAATCAGAGCTCACAGAATGGATTTCAAATACAACATCTGATACTACTCAAGTGAATATCGTGTTGACTTGCTACTAGGTGTCTCAAACAAAACTCTTCACAGTCTTCCAAAGATGTGATGCATTTCACAAGCTTTGTGGTGTCTGAGAGTAAAGTTGAACCATCTTCATCTTACATTTGACAAGATGCGAACTCATCTGCTCTGATAGTGCTCTAACTTTACTGGTTTTAACAGGTGCTGGGACGTCCCAATACAAAGCAGCAAAAGCAGCAGGTAAGATCATTTTGCTTTGACTATAAACACTGTAGGTTGATTTGAGACCATTGAGACCAGAAACCTGCATTGTTTCTCATCCTTGAGACCTCATTGAATCATTTTATCATTTGCTCTTTTACTCATTCATTCATTCATTCATTCATTCACTCATTCATTCATTCACTCATTCACTCAATCAACCAACCATCCAAACAACCCAACAATCAATCAGCCAGATTCATGTATGCGTTTGGCTGCAGTACAAGCGCCTTTCTCCAAGCCCACTAAATCAGAATACTGTTTTTCTGAGTTCCATCCTTTAAATTAAAATTCTAATATTATCATATTTTTGTAATATCTGTTGGCTATCAAGTGAACACTATAAAACCACACAGATATATATACCTATATTAAGGCAAGAGTCAAGTATGAACTGTTCAGCTGTTTTGTATTTGTTTGGGGGGGGTGGGCTGATGCTCAGCAAGGATGATAACACTACCGTCTTATTTCTCAAACTCATGTGTTTGCTGACAAGCTGTTTCAGAAAAAGTGAGCTGTCGTTACTAATATAACTGCCATAAAAGTCAAAGTCCACCTGTGTGGCAGTCGGTGAGGTCACATCTTGCCATGTGCAGATGCTGTAAGGAAGTTGATAGCATGTAATGTGTAATGAAGACACAGATAAAGTGTGTTATAAGCGTGAGACGGATGCTAACGAACCAATCTTTTGTTCAGCAGGAGGATATGGAGGTGCTGCTGGGACTCAAACAGGAGCTTTAGGGGCTGTAGGTTATGGAGCTGGTAAGATCTCTTCAAGGTCATCCACACTACTACACTCACTTGCACGCTTACTAGTATGCCAATCCATATACTGAATTAGCAAAGCAATAAAAAGATTTTAAAAAGATGTGAATATCTGTTAAAATGTAATTGATTTCTGTGATCAAAGCTGAATTTTCAGCATCATTACTCCAGTCTTCAGTGTCACATGATCTTCAGAAATCATTCTAATATACTGATTTGCTGCTCAAGAAACATTTCTGATTATTATCAATGTTGAAAACAATATTTTTTTGTGGAAACTGATACATTTTATTTTTCAGGATTCACAGATGAACAGAAAGTTCAAAAGAACAGCATTAATTTGAAATAGAAATATTTTGTTACATTATAAATGTCTTTACTGTCACTTTTGTAACATTATAAATGTCTTTACTGTCACTTTTGATCAATATAATTCCTTGATTAATAAAAGTGAAAACAAAACAAAAAACACACTGGCCCCAAACTTTTGAATGGTATGTCTTATTGTTGTGGTAAAAGACATATTTTTTAGGAGCTGGTGAAAAACCTCCTAAACCAGGTAAGCCCACTGAGAATTCTGGCAATAATTCAACAGACCATTAGTCCCAGAGTATGTATACTAGAGTCTCTGTTGTGAAATACAGTAAGTGAGAATATTGCCACGTTTCTTTAATTTCCAGTTTTACATCCACTGGCTCACCAGGTTTTGCCATTGAATATCCTTTTTCAGTGAAAAGAGTGGGCAAACTGACCATTTTCATCCCAGGGCCCTCGTCCACCAGCTGATTTAATAAGTGTAAACTTACATCAGTGCTACTCAAACAATGGGGCAGCAGAGCTGAATGTGTTATTGGAACACAGGCAATATAATAAGTGGAAATCTTGGACCTACCAAGTGCAACTGGACCCATTCTGATACCGTAATATAAATATTGTTGCTTTCTCTGTCAAACCAAGCACTATCGGTGCATTAGCACCATTCGGGTATAACTGAATTTCCTAAAGCAGCGCCGATTCCAGCGACATTTTTGGAGAGATAAGGAATTAAACAAATGTAGCCAGGCTCAATAAACTTTGGAGCAGCTTACTGGCTCCTCTGAGAAAGACCTTTTCACTCTGAAAGAGCTTCTCAACTCCCCGATATCAGATTTTGCAGTGGAAGTTGTCTTTGGCTGTGATTGTTGGAGCGAAGCAGGAGATAATTGTCTAATCCTTCGCTTCTCATCTTTGAGGTAAAAATACTTAGTGGTTCTGAGGGGAAGCAGACACATTCAGACCCCAGGCCTCACATTTAACTGATGCGCAACACACTACCTAGCATGAACAAAATCCTCAGATAAGACGAATGAATGTATTTGAGATTAGATTGGCTGTAAGGCAGTGTCTGAATAGGCTCAGTCCATGCCTGCAGATCAGCTGTTGGCCAAATTCAGAATCACTCATCATTCAGGCCACACATGATTTGTACCAACAGAGCTCTGCAGAAACACACACAGATTTGATCACTCATTCATTTATTGACCACCCAGCTGTACACACTCCCTGTCCCTAGTGTGTTCATTTATTCAATAATGATGAGAGTGTGCATGTTACTATACTTCAGTTCCATTCCTCAGAATTCACACGTGCCTCTAAAGAAAATCCAAACTAAAAATCTCTGCACATTCTGACTGGACCTGGCCCCCATTTTCCAAAAGCATCGTAACCCAAGTAGATTGGGACCCCTTCTTCTTCCTTTCTGACACAATCATATGATGTTGTTCAGCAATGATGTCACCATTAAACTTTTTGGAGAGTGAAAAGCAGACCAGAGCTTCATTAGTCAATGTCACTAAAGCGCAGCTTCCACGTCTTTAATGTGCACTGCACAGTACTGGTGACACAGTGAACCTCGTCACTCAGTATGCTTGTCACTGACTGGATCAGCGACAGGGTGATCGGAAAATGACACACTGCAAATTGCATCCATATGAACAAAGCAAATGTGTATAGCAACAGTAAAAATCAAAGTATATGTGTTTAGATCATTCCACACAAAATAATAACAAATATTATATGCAGAAAATTTGTATGACCATTATTATAGACCGCTATAGTGTAGAGCATGACTCTAGCAATGTCTTGGGTTGGATTCTGAGGGTTTGCATGAAGCGATAGGATCGGTGAAAATAGCAGAGTGATTTATTTGATGAATACAGTCTGTTTATGACATCATAGAACTGGATTTTGTTTCTGGTATGCAGTGTTCTTGACCTCCAACACACAAACCACAATGACAGCAAACAAATCACACGCTCTCTAAATTTACACGCCATAACACAATACTCAGAGACAACAACACAGTTATAGTAACATAAATAAGAGAGAAAAAAAAAAGTGCTCTTTGCAAAATATTGAGCTCATGCCATTGGTCCGAGTGTTGCCATAGAACCCATAGCTGCTGGCACAGGGCACGTGCAAGTGGTTTTGATTGGTCTTCAGGTCCATCTCTCTGAAAGAGTGCCAGGCCTTATTTGTGTAAAAAAGAGAAGCTCCCAGAATAAAGAAACTATATATTAAACTCTTCATGATGATCTCCAATCCTAAACCCATGTTAAGTGCAATCAAATTATATCAAGTGTAAAATTTTAAAGTTCTAACTTTGTTAACTAAGAATTAGCATTCCCCAGCCTCCTATCCAACCCTTCACAAACTAGCCAGTGAAAAGTTACAGGTTGACAGCTTCAGAATATTACATGCTAATTTTTCAAATGTCCCATACATCCTTGACCCTCTGATCATGTAAGTTGACAAAATGAAAGTTCTTGTACATTTAAAGAGATGAGTTCATTAAACCCTGCAACCCTAATTATGATGAGCAGTTTGGAGAATGAAGTTTATTAAGCTCAAAATCAATAAACCAATTCTAATTATTTAAAACCTGTCAAGTTCTAAATACTTATTATTGTTTATTTATTTATTAATGTTTATTATTTATTGGCTTTCATAGTACTTGATTAAAACATGATATTACATTTACATTTACATTTACATTTAATCATTTAGCATACGCTTTTACCCAAAGCGACTTACAAATGAGGAGAACAATAGAAGCAATCAGACGAATGAGAGAGCAACAGTATGCAAGTGCTGTGACAAGTCTTAGTGAGTCTAGCACAGTACACATAGCTGTCAGAATTATGAACTATTCTCTGTGTGTTTTTGCCCCTGTGACCCAGTTTCTTCCTCATGTTGATTGTGTTAATTTGATTCCAGGTGTGTCTCGTTCCTCCCCAATTATCCTGCCTTTAAAAGCCCTAGTCCTTTCAGTTCTTGTTTGTCGGGTCTACTTGTTGAATGTCCTCCTTGTTCTCGGTTTTCCTGTGGATTATTAAAGACTGTGTCATTCAAGTACTCCACGTTTCCTCGTTCCTTGCTCCCCGAGTGAAGTGTGACAATGTGTGTGTACTGTGTATATTTATTATGTATATATAAATACACACACATACAGTATATATTTTTAATCTCTTATTTTATCTGCAGAAACTACCTCTTCAGACTGAATCTAAACAACATTTCACTAATTCAGGTGAGACACAGACCTACAGTACTTATAAATGGTCAGCATTCTCTACTAGATGATGATTCCTGTTTGATGTGGTCTTTGTGACTTTATATAAGGCCGTCTGTCAGGCCTTTGGGTGTTAGAGAGGGCTGGCTTATGGTTATTGATATTGAAATGAATGGGTCAGTTCCCAAAACTGCCTGGATAGACTTCAAAGAAAGCAGCATTGCCCGGCACGGAGAGCAAGGGGCGTCTTAGCGTTTCTAGTCTGGCTTGGAGCTAAAACCTCTCAGAAGGTCAGCCAGGACTGTCTGAGGTCTAAATAAAGCAGTGAAATGAGACTGTGGTGGCTTTCCCACCTGTTGCTGCTGTTGCATATATCTCTTTTATTCCCCCAGTAACCTCTGTGCCGTGTCTCATAGCTACCAGACATTTATTGAATGCTCTCACTCGCAGACCACTCATAATGTTTCATGCATGAAGCAGCTTTTGGTTGAAGACTGAATAAAATTTGAGTATCAGTCGCTTTCATTCTCTCTCACCTTAGATACCCAGCACACATCTGAATGCACAACAAATAGGAGCTAAATAAGCCACTCCATTCACATATTCCCATGTCTGCGTCTAGTGTTTTGTTTCAATGACGTTACTAAATTTGCAGCAATTTTCTCCACTGTCCCAGTGGAGAGGATTAGGTGCAATTTCATTTTCCTCCATCTCACCTTCGCCTGTGTATCTCTCCTGGGCGATTCCAAACTGTGAATAAACAAGGCAGATCTTTCTTCATTTCGACTAACCGGAGCATCACAAGGGGAGGCAGGGTCCAAATCGATGAGCAGCATTTTGCCAGCTTTTGAGAGTGTCTTTGCCTAAACTGCACACAGAGGGAGAAAATTAAAATGGGCATATGTTATTAAAGGATGAAGAATGAGACACTGGTGACAGAATTGACCTGACAACACTAAGCATGGGTTCTTGAATTGTAACCAAATCACAAAACACCATAATAATAGATTTAGTGTTGTTACAATAATGCTGTCAGGATTATGGACTATTCTGTGTGTGTTTTTGTCCCTGTGACCCAGTTTCTTCCTCATGTTGATTGTGTTAATTTGATTCCAGGTGTGTCTCGTTCCTCCCCAATTATCCTGCCTTTAAAAGCCCTAGTCCTTTCAGTTCTTGTTTGTCGGGTCTACTTGCTGAATGTCCTCCTTGTTCTCGGTTTTCCTGTGGATTATTAAAGACTGTGTTATTCAAGTACTCCTCGTTTCCTCGTTCCTTGATCCCCGAGTGAATTGTGACAGAAGACCCGACCGATACAGTTACCTCAGTTTGTACCCTCCGTTTTGTTTCTCTTTTTACTCAGTTTTTTGTTTCCGTTGTGTGCCCTATGGATCCCCTCCTACGCCCCGAATTTATCCTCCTCCCTGCTGGAGCAGGGGGAAAATTCGCT